TGCCCTGTTCCGGACCTTGTTTTAATGAGTGATCAGCTCATGTTTAAAGTTGTCACCAGGTGAAACAAAAAACAAGATTGTTAAATAGGATAACAGACTGCTCTTTTTGGCCCTGTATGAAATAACAATGCATCATTTATTAACTATACCTATACAAAATGTAATACATTTTCCCTTCATTATGTAATAACACCTCCTTTTGTAATAATTTGCCCATTATGTAGTAAACAAGTTCAATGCAAATATGTAATACATGTCGCCACATTTTGAAATATATTATTACATATTGCTGTGGTTATTACAAAATGAGTTGCAAACAATAACATTACAACTGTTTATTTATTTATTCAACCATGAATCATCCTTAATCATAATTTAAAAATATTTCAGTAGAATATCTTTCATTGGCCAAAACTAGATCAAGTGTTACCATATTCATTAGCCAACATGTATATCAACATCAATTTTGGGATATATTTACAGTTTGGTTATGGTTACATAATGAATATTACAGTTTTTTAAAAGGGCAACTCACGCATTTTGTAATAACCATTGCAAAATGTAATAATTTATTACAAAATGCAGGGACATTTATTTTATATTGCGTTCAGGCTGTTACAGAATGCAGCAGATTATTACAAAATGTGGGTTTTATTACATAATTACATGAAAATGTTCTTGAGTCATTACATAATGTGTTGTTTATAGGCCTTTTCTTTTATTCTTTCCTTGTCCTTCTTTTAATGAGTATTTTGATAACTGTTACACATTGATAGAAAAAAACAGATTAAGCTTCTCATTATTCAGACTCAGCTCTCAGCGCTTAAGCTTCTTTTAAATGTTGATAAAACCAAGGTAATGCTCTTTTCAAAAACTAAAAAGACACCAGAGCCTGTTTTAGATATTGTAACTATGCAAGGGATAAAACTTGAAGTGGTTACCTGTTACAAATACCTTGGTATCTGGCTTGATGATTGTCTCACTTTTAAACTTCATGTCAATAACCTGCTTAAAAAACTGAGGGTTAGGCTAGGTTTCTTCTACAGGAACAAGTCCTGTTTCTCACTTGAGGCCAGAAAAAGGCTAGTCACTGGGACCTTTTTACCTGTACTGGACTATGGTGATCTGATCTATATGAATGCACCTGCCCATTACCTGATCAAGTTAGATGCCGCCTATCACAGTGCACTGAGATTTGTGACAAACTGTAAAGTATTAACCCATCACTGTACCCTGTATGCAAGGGCAGGTTTGCCTTCACTAACTGTACGGAAGCTCAGTCACTGGTACATTTTTATATACAAAGCCATGTTAGGGAAACTTCCATCCTACATCTGCTCCCTGATCTCACGGCGAATTGTAAGTGGCTACTGCCTGAGATCGAATGCTGTGGTTTTATTAAATGTGCCAACTGCTTGGACTGTCTTAGGGAAAATAGCTTTTAGATGCGCAGCTCCGCTAACTTGGAACAGTCTGCAAAAGGAATGGAAGCTGAGCAATTTGGTTCCACTAAATGTTTTTAAAGCAAGGATAGATGCTATCCAATCGGAAACTGTTGGAACCTGTAAATGTTACTAGCTATGTAAACTGTAGTCACTGTAAATATGCTGTATGATGTCCTTTTTTGTTTTTCTGTTATGTTTATATGTCTTCATGTGGAACCTACTTGCAGTAGGTCACCCTTGAAAAAGAGATCAATGATCTCAATGGGATTCACCTGCATAAATAAAGGTTTGAAATGAAATGAAAGATTTTTTTTATCAGAACATGCATTTCTCCTCATTGTGAACATATATTGCACTCATGTTCAGAATATATGGTACGTACATGGTCTTTTATAAATCTGAATATATATATAGTGCATACATGTCCCCATATAATTGTGAATATATAGCGCATACATGTCCCCATATAATTGTGAATATATATAGTACATGTCCCCATATAATTGTGAATATATTCTACATACATGTCCCCATATAAATCTGAATATATAGCGCATACATGTCCCCATATATTTGTGAATATATATAGTACATGTCCCCATATAATTGTGAATATATTCTACATACATGTCCCCATATAAATCTGAATATATAGTACATACATGTCCCCATATATTTGTGAATATATATAGTACATGTCCCCATATAAATGTTAATATATAGTAAATGTATGTTCACATATATACACAACCAATATATTATATATATTTACATATATTACTCAATATATGGAAAGCGGCAATTACTGATGTATTATCACATATATTACAATATATTATCACAATATATTATTCAATATATATATATATTGTAATATATTAACACAATATATTATTCTATATATCTTCAATATATTTTGTAGATATGAATAAATATGTTTTTCATGTTGATTATTAATCAGTATCACTTGGGGTAGCCAACAGCAAGATTTCCTTTATTAAATCTTTTCAATTAACCAGTAAATCAGAAAACAAAATAATGCAATATATTGACAGTTAATATATGGGGAAATATATTTTCTTTGCGTAAGGGACACCAACGGTGTTTCAGGGCCGGTTCGGAGCTGGAGCTTGAAAAGCACCGGGTTTTCCTGTTCACACCGCAGCGGAGCAGCCTCTAAGCTCCGGAATCTGGTTCGTTTCGAGCACCAAAAAGTTGTCCGTCTAGAAGCAAGAACCGCATACTAGTGATGGGAATTCCGGCTCTTCTTGGTGAGCTGGATCATTTGGCTCGGCTCACCAAGAAGAGCCGGCTCTTTCGGCTCCCAAACGGCTCTTCAGTTTACCACATATTATACCTTTTATAATTCAATCAAATGTAGCCCTGTTTTGACTAATGATTTATATGTGTACACATATCACTTAAATTATTCAATACATCCTTTGTACTGAAGTATTCAAAAGTAAAAATTACATGTTTAATATCAATTATTTGCTGTGGCCAATTGTTTTCATTGCATTTACAGACCCTTGTATCTCTCTGATACCACCCAATGAATGCACTGACTTGCTTGTAGAACCACGCTACACAAAGCAGATAGCAACACCTATAAAAACTTAAGCATAGACATTTAAAAAAAGGGCTACTGTATCGACATTTTAAAATTATATTTAAAGAAAAGGCCCTGACAAAACAGCAGGGCTCTATTTCAGTATTAACTATAGAAAAAAAGACAGCAACAGCTGACATCAAATCTTTGCTGAGCCCAAGGATAATCATAAATAAATAACATAGTGAAAATAAATATATTGCAATGCTCAGTACAGCAGCATCCAACCGTCTCTAATCATAAAAAAACATAATACAAATAAATGTATTGCAATGCTCAAAACAGCAGCATCCAACAGTCTCTAATCCTTGGATATTACATGTCACTGCATGCATGCACGCACGGAGCAGCTGTAGCGCGGAGATCATCATATCATTCTGTCTTGTATTACTTAACAAAAATAAAAAAAACGGCTCGTTCGCGGGCGCGAGCCGGCTCCCGTCGTTCACTTAAAAGAGCCGGCTCTTTGAGCCGGCTCGTTCGCGACCGACACATCACTACCGCATACATCACGCTTACGTCGGAGGGGGGCGAGATTAACCTGAGCTAACAGTTAAGGCGAGTACGGCAAATAAAAGTTGTAACAAGCAGTAGTGCTGAGCAAAGTGACTAGAACGCAACCACACACTTGTAAAAAAAAAACACGCTTTAAAAAGTCAGGCAACACTAACCAGGCTTCGTGTGATTCTGTTTATTTGTACCTTACTTTGACCATCCGTTCGCTGTTATTGATCATTGTGGAGAGCAGGCAGACGTTTTGTTTGTTATTATAGCAGCTATCGGATGGAATCAATACATGGGCTGCACAGGTTGTCATGTCCGACTATCACAAGTAGAATCATAATGAAAAATACGCCGGTAAAATGTGCCTGTAGAAAACGGCTTAGCAAGTAGTCAGTTTAGCTTCGGTTGCTATGCTAACATCACCCATGTTATACCAGAGAAACTTTCATAACAGCGTTGTGATGCCAAACAGCGTCAATTCAGACTGACACACATTCACTTAAGGGGAACTGGGGATATGTATCAGCTCAGCTGCTTGTGTGACAGTCAGACAGTGAATACTTTAGAGCCGTGTGAGCTAACCCGGAGCTAACGGGAGAATACACTCCCGTGGAAGAGCAGCCAGCACTGCAGCGGTCGGTAAATGCCGCTGAAACACATTAATAAACAATGAACCACGGCACTCTGGAGAAAAGTATAAGGTTGGAGAAGTCGTTATTTAATTTAATCTGGCTTCGTATGATTAAAAGCAACACGATCATCGACCCGACGCAGTCCCCGGCCCGTTGTTGTTGTGAGCTCCGTTGGGGAGAAAATCAGCAACGTAAACTGTGACGTCATGACGCAGCAGCGGCAGCACCAGTCGGGCTCTGAGCGGTGTGAACAGAGCGGGAGCGGAACCGAAGAACCGGTTCTGAACCAGAAAAGCTCTAGCACGGAGCTAGAATGGGAAAAGCCTTGGTGTGAAAGGGGTATGAAAGAGTGCAGCTGTGCTGTCGTCTGACCACACCCGAACCTGTTTTGAAACCGGTTTGGTGGCTTTTACCCTGGGTCTGTAGGCCGGTTCCAGCAGAACAGTGAGGTGGTCAGAGAGGCCGATGTGGGGGAGGGGGGATGCCTTGTATGCTCCTTTGATGTTGGTATGGACCAGGTCTAATGTGTTTTTTCCCCTGGTTGGAAAATCAACATGCTGATATATTTTAGGCAGCACAGTTTTTAAGTTAGCGTGGTTGAAGTCTCCAGCTACGATGAGAAGGCCATCTGGGTGTGATGTCTGTTGCTCACTGATGGCTCTGTACAGTACACTGAGTGCCTCCTCTCTATCCTCGCTGCTGGGGCCAGGCGGGAGATAAACAGCCACAACAAAAATCGCTGTAAACTCACTCAGCAGGTAGCACTCCCAGTTGCAGTAACACCTGAATGCTTTTTTTAATACAACTTACCCTCGTTCTTTGTTTCGTTCTGCACCTTCACCTCAACGTACACAGTTTCCTCAGCTCTCTTTGCTGAAAGGTCAAAGGAAATGCACAGGGTTATTAAGTGAATAAATGAGAAGGACTTCAAAAGGCTGCTTTCATTGTTTGATAAAGCAGAAAAATTGCCTTACGATGATTGATTTATTGCAAAAAGGGAGTTTTTTCCTCAAAGTGCATTAAAATGGGCAGCTTCAAAATGATGAGATTGTCTTTCAGGTATTGTATCATGCCATTAAAAAATGGAAACGACATGATATGCGAAACTCTCAACAGATAACTAGCTCACTTCGCAATTTCCTCACTGGTTTAGATGTGTTCGTGATGATATACCTCCAGTGTGAGTCGCTAAATTAAAATTAAAATACCCAACAAATGACCATCAGTTTGAATCTTTTTAAGAGTTAAAGAAATATTAATTGAAGTTAAACTGAAATAGGATGAGGTGTTCAAAGGTTTCAAACTACTCTAGATTTAAAAGTGTTTTTTCAACGTAGTATACATGAATAAAGAAGGCTTATTTCTACCAAAAATGTGCATTGATGAATCAAGAAAACTCATATTATTAAAACCTGGATGTAAAATAGCAATGATGAGTTTTATTGGTTCATTTGTAGTGAAAAGTTTACACTCAACATTGTGATTTTGAAAAACATGAATTAAAATGTGCTGGGTTAGTTAAAAATCTGTTCTTCACCCACACTAAACAAATAAAAAAACTGGTAAAAAGGTAAATTATTTACAGATTTTTCATGTTTCTGGTTTCACATTTCAATTACACAACATTAAAAACTTTGGATTGAAGTACTCAACATTGCATTGATCACCTTAACAAAGAGGCTCTGATTCAAAATGATCAGCAGGAAGTTAAAGTTGTTAATGTTAAATAACTAAACTTACCCGCAGGTGGAGGATTGTTGCCGGCTTTGAACACGCCAGAAGCGTAGTGCACCTCCTCCTCTCCCTCCGCCATCACTACAGCCGCTCTGTTGAGCCCTCTCTGACTCGTAGACGGAGAAGTGTTGCTCTAATTAAACCTCTGGACATCGCAATAGGAGAACTGGTTGTTCCCTCTCTTCTGTTGAAGTCTATCTCTCAGCCTTCAAATTAACCACTTCTGCTTTTGGTCGAGAAGTTCATTTGCATCCCTTCACGTGACTGAACATGGACCTTAGAAATAAATAGTGTGTTCTTGTTTTCTATGGAAATGTACACACACACACACACACACACACACACACACACACACACACACACACACACACACACACACACACACACACACACACACACACACGCACACACACCCATATTGTGAGGAGAGTCATGGAGAACAATAGTCAGACTGACACTGAGAAGGTATGTCATCAGGGCCCATTAATGGCGCATTTCCACTGCAGCGCGTAGCACGGTTTAGGCGTGCCGTGCAAAACCCGACACGTTTTTTATTGCGTTTCCACTAGGGGTAGGGACAGTTTTTCTGGCTCTCCAAAATCCAGGTTCTTTCCGGGTCAACAACCGGGCTGAATATGCTAAACTAGTGAGAGAATCGCTGGCAAGGAGGCTACAACTACAACAAAATGAACATATTTACCGTGATTTAATTGTAATACACGTTTCAAAATGATGCCGAAGTAACAACATACTGATACCAGTTAGTAAAAACCATGAATTAATGCTTTGACAAGTCTGCAGACAAGACGGCAGGCATGCGTGTTTTCTGAATGGAGATCGGCTAAGCTAACGCAGTATATGCTCCGACCGTCCACACTCACAACAACGGCCTATACAGACATAAATAAACCAGCGACTGTATTCGCCATGACACAGGCAGTCTGTGGTTTGTACTTGTTTAACTTTTGTCTAGTTTCTGAACATATATGAGGAGCTGTGAGCTCTGAGTGCTAACAGCTAACGGCTGATGTTGGTTTTGTGTTTCGCATTGAAGATGACGTCACGGCTCCGCCTACACTGCGTTACTATAGTTACTGCCCCAGTTACTAAACTGTAATGGAAACGCAGCATAAAGTGAGCCTGGCCTACCAAGGCCAGGCTCACTATACCACTATATATATATATATACTATATCACTATACCGTACTAAGCCGTGCGAGGCCCTGCAGTGGAAATGCGCCATAAGAGCCCTGAACTCTTCCTCACTTATTACTAATCACAACACGTCACCTCTGCAGGACTTCAGATCAGATTAGATTATCTTCATGTGAACAGTAGGGAGGGATTACAAATAAAATGTAATGAGTAGAAGCTGACACGCTCTGGAAACAGAGGCAGAAAAATAACCCCCAGCTGATCATGCCTAACAGAAACACTTAAATGTAAGACACAGCCAAAGGTTTTTCTTCCATGATGTCCATGTTGACTATCTGTTGGTCTTCTGTGTTATTAAAAGCATGTATTGTGTGAAAACAATGATGCCGTTCATCTTTGTATCTAGCTTTGCAAGCATGCAAATTAATATCCAGTGTCAACAACATGCTGATGATGAGTGTATGTCCAATGACAAAGAAAGCCTCAATGTTCCTGCAGACCAGTTAAACAAGTTATTGCTTTACAGGAGTAGAAACAGCATTAAAAACAATAACATAATCAGAGCTTTGGGGAATGTTGATCTGTCAGACTTGGGTACAGCATTTGTGTTAAAAAATATAAATGTTCAAATATGAAACATACAGGTCAATATCACCTTGCAGCTGAACTGCCAATACCCCAAAACATATTATGGTAACACTTTATATTAAGGTTCACAAATTAACCATCAACTAGTTGTTAATTAACATGCATATTAGCAGTATGTTGGCTCTTTATTAGTCATTATAAAACACTTATTAATGCCTTATTCTCCATGACCATATTCTACAAGTAATAAGCCATTAGTTGAGAGTTTTTCCTCAATAATCAATAATGAGTGCTTATTTATTGCAAGTAAGGAAGTTGTTGGACATGAGTTTTGGTCCTAATATGCTCTGCTCAATATGGGCCTAATAAGGCAGCAGTACCACAAGAATAGTAATTCTCCCATAATAACACTTAACAAATAAGTGTCCCTCTGAAACTCTGCAGGTGCTGATGTTGACAGAGTGACTGAATATTGAGGCCTTATCTCCTGCTATCTTATTTTCATCCACATGTTTGCACCATAAATAAGATTGTTTCTCCAGACTTGATTAAAGCACTGATGTTCTCAAGAAAAAGACAAAACCACAATGTGTGGCAGCACATTTATTCACTGGTGACAACAGAGTAAAACAAGACATTGCTCATAGACAAAAATACAGATAGATACAAATCATCCATAAAGTGTGCATCATCAGAATAGTATCAGGGACAGTTTCATCCCACTGGCCTTAAGACTATTAAACACCTGAGCTTGCACTATTTGTATTTGTATTGTTGTTTTTTATATGTATTTCTTATGTCTTGTTAATTGCACTGTTAAGGAACCTGCGATCACATTTTTTTATACATTACATAATTACACCGTAGTTTCTAAATGTCATGACAATAAACCTTTGAATCTTGAAAATAGTTATTAAACAGACTCTGGAACATTGTATTGAGAACAAGTGATGCAGCGCCCTCTGTTGGCCGGTAGAAGCAATCAAATAAAATGGTCCATAATCTTTTCAATAATCTGCAGAGTTTAAGCATTGCATCTCTAACACAATAGAATAACATTATTCACACAAAACTGTATAACTATTTTAACCATCCATATCTAATAAAAACACCATAAACATTTTAAAGAAAGAAATATTTGCATTCATTTTTGCCAGCCTATAGAAATTAAATCAAACTAAAAGTACATCGATTTTAAAATAATCCACATTATGAGTTAACTTTTGTGTTTTATTGTTTGTATCGAGTTTGTGAAACGTTTCTGGAATTACTGTTTTTTATCCTTTTTTTTTTCTTTTTTTGTTTTCTTTTTTTGTTTGGAAATAGTTTTTATTCACAAGTAATTCATCTATTTCTCAAAGAGTTTCCAGTAACCTTCTTAGTATGACTGCTTTGTTTAAACAGACAGAGATAGAGCCTTCTGCTGACAGATCCATGGTTGTTTCTCACCACAGCTCACTGATACCCAGTTGTTTTCGCTAAGGACAGAGATTGCACAGCGACTGTCAACAGCAATATTGTTACAGTGGATAAAGGGGTGGGGCTGGGCTTTATCTAAAGTCAAAGATGAATCTTGATCGGGCCAAATTTGATCCAGAGTCTCCCACAACAAAGCTGCTGGGTCTTCCCGAACCGAAAACCAAATTACAAATGGTCCATAATCTTTGCAATAATCTGCAGAGTTTAAGTATTGCATCTCTAACACAATAGAATAACATTATTCACACAAAACAGTATAACTACTTTAACCATCCATATATAATAAAAACACCATACAAATGTTAAAGAAATTAATATTTGCATTAATTTAGCAAGCTCCATAGAAATGAAGTAATCGATTTTAAAATAATCCACATTATGAGTTAACTTTTGTGTTTTATTGTTTGTATCGAGTTTGTGAAACGTTTCTGGAATTACTGTTTTGTTTTATTTTTTTGTTTTATATTTTAGTTTGGAATTTGTTTTTATTCACAAGAAATTCATATTTTTTTCAAAGAGTTTCCAGTAACTTTCTTAGTATGACTGCTTTGTTTAAATAGACAGAGCCTTCTTCTGGCAGATCCATTGATATGTCCAATCACAGCTCACTGAGAACCATGTGTGTCTGTCCTTGACAAACTTTGCACAGCGACCGTCAGCAGGATCAGGAGGATCTATCCAGGAGCTGAGGAGAGAACTGATGTTTAGACAAAGGCTGATTTTTTTACTTAAAGATTTTAGTAATGTGTTTCTTACCTATTAGTCAGATCACTTCCATCCACCCACTCCCATTTCTTATTTACAACTCTCAGACCAATCCAGTATTCATGAATTACAACGCTGTACGTATTGATTGCTTCCTGGAAAACAGAGAGAGTTGTCAGGTATTTAAACATTAAACTGTAATAAACACGTAATGGCCTAAAGACCCAAAGTGTGTTCAAACCATGGACTGTATATATAAATGGACGTAGGGTCCGTGACGTCACCCATAGGATTCTGCAGAGTTGCCGAGAAGCCCTTAGTAGGCGGAGTCGGCCACTAACGGCTCGACAGTGACGTCAGAGTCTAACTCCCGCCTGCTCCAAATAAGGGCAAAGAGGCGGAGCCGAGGCGGGACCTGCTGCCTCCGAGCTGGAAGTAACAGAGCTAGCTCAAGCTAAGAAGCTAAGCTAACATGCTCCCCATCTGCACACTGCCGTCACATTTTGCGTTTCTAAGGTACAGATGTAGCAGCTTATTTCAGACTCCAGCTTACAGCTTCCTGCCTGCTACCTGCCAGCTACCTGCCAGCTACCTGCCTAAGACCAGCATCTGGGAATGTTAAGCCCTCCCACTATTTTCCAAGAGGGCGTTGCCAGATTTTCAATTTCAGGATTTAACCAGGAGATGGCGCTTCATTCACAAATACAGAAAGACAACTTTTCATGGACTTTCAGTTTTGTTTAGAAGAGCATTTGAACACATCAATATTTTAGATCAAATAAAGTATATCTAATCTTGTAATTCAATAATATATAGTCTTTATATATTAAATAATCATAATAATAATGTAAATGTTTACATTACACTTCTTTATTTGTCATGCGGTCTACATACGCTGTAAAATGTATTATCTCTTCGATTTACACACGGCATCTATTGCACTTCTGTCCATCCTGGGAGAGGGATCCCTCCTCTGTTGCTCTCCCCGAGGGTTCTCCCATTTTTCCCTTTGAAATGTGGGTTTTTCTCTGGAAGTTTTTCCTTGTACGATGTGAGGGTCTAAGGACAGAGGGTGCTCATACTCATACTGATATTCTGAACAAACTGTGCTGTTGTATTTGCTGTAAAGTGTCTTTACTGTAGGGTATTTTTATTATATGTACAGCACTTTGGCAACAGAAGATGTTTTTCTTTAAATTGAAGTTAAATGCATCAATCTGGTGCACTTTGGGGGCAAAATTAAGAGATTTATGGATACAGCTCTCAACACTC